CATTGAAGAAAATTTGGGCAGAAATGCAGAAGGAAATGCAAAACTCATTAAGCCAGCTTGAAACAACAGGGGAAAGGCTCACCTCTAGAATGAATGAAATGGAAAACAGAATATCAACACTGGAGGATAAAGTTGAAGAATTGGACCACTTAAGCAAGGAGTATGGAAAATTTTTAAAAACACAGGAAAAGAATATGCAAGAAATGTGGGACACCATGAAAAGACCAAGTCTATGGATCATAGGAATAGAGGAAGGAGAATTTCAGGTTAATGGTGTTGACCAGATCTTACACAGAATTGTAGAAGAGAATTTCCTGAAATTAAGGAAACACATCCCCATACAAGTACAGACAGCACATAGAACACCAAATAGACAGGATCAGTAAAGAAAGTCCTCAGAACATATTATATTAAAAACACTAAATGTACAGGACAAAGAGAGAACACTGAAAGCAGCAAAAGAAAAACAAGTCACATATAAAGGAAAGCCCATCAGAATTACAGCTGACCTATCAATGCAAACTATGAAAACCAAGAAGAGCCTGGACCAAGGTATTTCCAGTTCTACATGACAATAGATGCCAGCCCAGAATACTATACCTAGCAACAATGTCTATTATAGTTGAGGGGGAAAGAAAAATCTTCCATGAAATGAATAGCCTGAAAGAATACATGTCCATAAAACCAGCCTTTCAAAGAATACTTGAAGCAATACAGAGAGCAGAGAGAAAAACAACAATACCCTAGGGGCAATAAAAGAAAATAAAGCTGCCCTCAGGCCTCTCTTGGGGTAAGTCTATCACGCCTGGACTCCCCCAGCCGCATTCACCCTTCCATCTCCCCCGCTGACAGCCTCTTTCTGGGGCTCCATGTCTTACCTTGCCTCTCCCTGATCCTTTGCATCCAGTACAACCCAGCTACTCAATCCACTCCCTGGGAAATCTTGGGGCTTCTTCCCACCCCATCTGCCTTTGCATCCCTGTGTGGCAGGGCCATGGCCAGGATCTCAGGTCAGTCCAACACCCAAGTTCCTGAGGCCAAAATCATTCTTAGAAGATTCCAGACCTAAGGAGAAAGTCTGAAAACTTCTGATCCACATTGGAGTTGGGCCACCGCGGAACTCCTGAAGACAAAATCAATCCGGCCTCGACAATATAAAATCAAAAGAGAGAACCAGAAGCTTAGACGAACCAGCTCTTCATACCCATAAAGTAAACCACAAAGACACATAAAGCTCAAAAAAAAAAAGAAGCAGAACTAAACTTGAAGGCCCGAGTATCACACAAGAGTCAGAAACTACAAAAGAAATTCACATGTCAAAATCACAGAGGAAAAATAATAACATGAAAAACCAAAATAACATATCCCCACCAAATACCAGTAATCCTCTAGAGGAGCACAATGAGAATCCCCTAGAGACAATGCAGGACATGGAACTCAAAAGAACAATGATGAATATGAAAAAAAGAATTCAGTGAATTTAAAGAACACACAAACAAGGTAATCATAGAGCTGAAGGAAGATAGGGA